AAGACAGAACTTCCTTGTCACACTGATTCCTCCGTGCACAAGGAAAGCTTTGAATGTCAGCTTCATAAGAAAAGCAAAGTCAGCCTTTACAGGAGGCATCTTAATCTGATAAAGGAGTGTAGCAGACACATTATAGACTTCATTAACAGAGGTAGCAATTGTTCCCATTTACATAATTCACACCCGAATAGTTAATGGTAAGTATGTCTAGATTACACAGTAGGACAGAGACTGCAGAGTAGACAGAACAGAGGAGAGGGCAGGTAGGAAAGATGGAATTCCAAAATAAAGAAAAGCTTACACTCCAATAAAACTCTGCCAGGAACCCAAATAGTGGGTATAATGAGAGAACTGACGTGATTCACCACAACTTAGAGGTGTGCTAACCAAGAGAAAAAATGAATTCTTGTTACTTCCTAGTCCACATCAGAGCTACAAAACCGATGGCTGCTACATTACTTTTTATATAAAGTGTGAAGTCTCTAGGTTTGTCTAGTTTGGAAGGTAAGAAGGCTCACTACTTTTCACATTAAATTCATTACTTACTACACACAAAAAGGACAGAAGCAAGTTTACTCNTTGTAGATTTTAGGTTTGTCTAGTTTGGAAGGTAAGAAGGCTCACTACTTTTCACATTAAATTCATTACTTACTACACACAAAAAGGACAGAAGCAAGTTTACTCTGGAAATAGCAAGCCAGCCAATGCTGGACACAAGGCACTGAACCCATGGAGTTCAGGGCTGTTTATCAAAATGTCCTTGTGGACTTGACAGCAAGAAAGCAATAAGGATGAATGAAATTAAGACAGAAATAAGACAATAAAGCAATCGTTCATATTAGAATTTTCCCCATTGCTAAAGAGCACATAAATAAATGCTGAAGCACTGTCATCTGTTTATATCCAATCCTTTTTAAAAGCTGGGGGGATGGTGGTGGTGGTGTTTGTTTTGTATTTTTTAAATTAAGTTCAGCTACTTGCACATCTGCCAGGTTCACTGACTGTAACAGAGTCCTTGTTCTGTCTCACCAAACACAAAACGTGAATTGATGCATTCTCCACCATACACACAGAGAGAGAAATCTTCCCAGAAAAGCATCCCAGAAATCCCCAACACTCTTCAGGTGACTTTGACACATTAAATATGTTTTGTAAAAGGCAGGTCATCAACCCTGACCCTAACAGTTTTAGGGGAAAAAGACAGCATTCATTTGTCAAGGGACCATTTTGTTTCTAAACAGAAAGTGACATTGCTGTTAAACACTTCTTATATCTGAAAGGTTAGCAGAAATGGCACCCATACACTTGAAGTCACCATAGAACATGGTAACATCGTAATTCCCTGTCCTTTGTAGACACCTTTCTGTTTCCCAGTCCCACGAGGTATCCCATCCAGCAAACACCACCTGCAAGTCTGTGACAGCCAGAAATATTCATTCATCAGTTTCCCAGTCAATTTCTTTCCCACACGTACACAATTCCTTTCATGGGATCCACTTACTCAACAAGGAAGACATAACACAGCACATGCTCTGCTCTACTCAAAAGCACTTTCTTTGCAAAAGCACTTTGAACTGACATCAAGTTTTGTTTCCTATAATATCCCTAATACTTATATTATTGTAAATCTTGATAGCAGCACAGTCTGCTGTCACCATCACAGTTCCATCCCTTCCTAGCTCCTTTCCCAAAAAAACAAAACCACAAAAAAGGCTTATTATGATTGTTATAATAAATACATATATTTCAGCTAAATCTTTATTTACTCATGTGTAGGAAGTCTGGCTAGGTGCACCAGGATCTCTTTTGTGCAATGACTGGGACGTAATTATAAGTCTCTAAATTTAAACCAGATGTGAAGAAAAAGAAAAATATCCTCATGTGGCCTTTTTAAAGGCAACACATAAAAAGCAACAGGTATCAGAACTTCAACATATCACTTATATCACATATATCACTTCCTAGGGATAAACTGATTAAATAACTCTAACTCTTCTAATTATTTAGAATACTGAAGACCAGTAGATGTTAATTTTCTGTCACTGTATGGCTAAAGAGTTTATAGGCTCATTGTAGAGTATTAAGTCAATAAATCCTATGTGTTTGCATCTATGGCTGTTTCTCTCTTTCCCACAGGTGGCATGCAATCAACAACCCACTTTCTAAAAACAGAAACAAAATGTTAAAAGCACTAAAGATATTTCAGAAGCCCAGAAGTGCCTAGGAGCACCAGTGAACCCATGCAGACAACCAGCCTAAAGTCACCACGGGCAACATCACAGTGCAAGGCAAAGCATGCTCCAGCTACAGAAATTCCATCATAATCTCACCCTGACAACAACGCCGGGCTAACGATATTGACATAACCCACGTGCTAAAAACATCACTACTGCTAAATCAGCACTGGATTTCCTAGGATCTCCTGCTCTACTACTGCCACACAGCAGCCAACTGCACACCAGAGTTCAACTCCTGGCTTAAACAGGCAGCAATGATGGAACCCTCCTCACCTCACTGGCCACCCTCCTCACCTCACTGGCCAGCAAGAGTCAAGAACCCACACTCTGGGCTTGGTTTTATTATTTAAAAATCCACGTGCATCTCCCCCACACTTATATTTCTGACCAGACCACACTCAGCTAAAACAAGCCAGACCCTCCAAATAGAACACAATTCTCCAGTGGCTTAGCCAGGTAAGAGCTGAAACAAAACTGTCACCCAAGAGAGGTTTTTAGGGGAACAGGCTTGAAAAGAGGGAGGGGCGAGGGGATGAGAGATAACAATGGGAGAGTATCCTGCTTCACAAAGTAAGGAATAGCAGCAAGGAACTCACACACTGGTTACAATAGCATGGTGAAATATTTCTATTCATACAGCAGCACACAACTGCTATCAGGAACTGAGAAAGTGGCAAAGTCAAAGAAAGAAGGAAAGAAAAAAAAAAACAAAAAACACTAAATACCAATGTCCCCTCAAAAAAAAAAAACAAAAAACAGGGTTTCTCTCATCACCAAGATTTGCAATTCAGTAACAGGGAATAGCCACATAAATACCAAACCTGCCTTTTTTGCTAATCAGGCCATTAGCCACATATTACAGATGAAAAGTTACGTGAACCAAATCTCAAAAAAGCTCATGACAGGATCAAAAAGAATGCTAAAAATTATGAAAAACTTGATGCTTTAATACAGCCCAGAAAGCAGGTTTTCTTCAGTTCAGGCTTGTGCTAATATCCCAAAAGTGATTTAATTACAGCTAAATTGGCTTCCCAGAAGTGGTGGAAGAAGTTCAAATTATATCAAAGATTATCATAAACTCACATTTCATTCTGCAGATCCCAACCTTTTTCTAGCTGCAGCCCCTCTTGCAGCTTGATGGATTCAGACAGTTCCACATTTCTGGATGATACAGTAGGCATAGACTTGACTATTCTGGGAACTGCTGTTCTGTGATAAAGTTCTGAACTGTGCTTCCAGAACTGAACTACATTCAGTACAGCTGCTAACTAAATAATCATTGCTTCCCTTACCGAAAAATAAATCCCCTGTTTTACTACCAACTCTAGTCACAGCAGCACGGGCAAGGTGGTGATTTCTCTCTTCTCGTCCTATTTGGAATGGCTCGAAGGGTGCTGACTCATAATTGACCCTGAATTGGGGCACACATCCGAGCTGCTGCAGTTTCCAACACAAACTCCAGTACCGTGTCAGGCTGTAGCTCAGGAGGAGATGTGTGTGCAGCCACCTACGGCTACAGACGCAATAATCTCAGGGAGCAAAGGAGGGCAGGCAGCTGGTGGAGGTTACTGCTGCAGACATCCTTGCCCAGCTGGCCATTGTTTAAGAATTACAACACCACAGCCAAACCAGACAACTTTCTGTGGTTACAGCCTGTTGGACCTGAGGTAACACACTATCCAGCTATGACCACTCTGTATATTTGAGCGTGGCCCCCAAAACGTGTAAAAGACACATTGTTCTTCAGAACAATTCTATTTTCACCCATTTGCTTTCATTCTCTCGGCTTCTGTACTTCTTCCCAGCACCATCAGCACCTCCTTAGGTGTTTCTTTACATCTTTGCATCTCCCAGTGTCGCCTATTTCCACCTGGGCTTCCCTTTAAACCATTTCACACCGTACCAGCACAAACACAAACCGTAACATGAAACTTACAGAGCACATGCAACATTCTAGATTAAATAAATCGTGTGCTTCCTAAGAAACCTTCAGAGCTCACATTACAAACGAGACAGATGTGGAAGGGCAGCAATTCCTGACACAGGCTTCAGGATGGCAGCAGACTCAGAAACAAAGCACCGTGTCAGCTGACACTGGTTCGTAGTAGATGCAGTAAAATACATGAAACTCACCAAGGCAGCGCTCAAAGAAAAAAACCATAAAAAAACCCAGCACCGCCACAAGGTCTGGGCAGAAAGACATCGCTCCCCATTACCTCGGATGAGGTGACTGAGACAACAAAAGCGTGCGCTTCCCAAGGACAGGCTGCATGAGGAGGGGCGGAAAAACACGGCCGGGAAGGCGAATTGGCAGAGCAGGAATGACCGCCCGTGCGAGGCACGACCAGACCCCGCCCGGCCGCGAGCAGTGCCCGGCAGGACGCGGGCCCGCGGGGCGATGCGGCCGCCCCGCCGCGCTCCCCGGGGCCGGATCGGGGCCGCCCCGCCCCGGGCGGTGACAACGTGCGGGGCCCGGCGGGGAGAGGCCCCAACCCCCCCCCCCCGGCCACCCCCTCCCTCTGCCCGGACACAACCCGCGTAGCCCCGGGGCGAGCCGCCCGCGGGCCCGGACCCACCTGCGCGGCAGCTCCGCGGCCACAGCCCCCGCCGGACCCTGCCCGGCCGCCGCCGCAGCCCCTGCCCAGCGCGGCGGCTGCTCGCACAGCTACCGGCGCCCGCAGGCCCCGCCCCGCCCCGGGCTCCCCCCAGCGGACGGCAAGGCGCGTTAACCCGACCCCCGCCGCCCCGAGCGCGGCCCCTCACCTGCCTGTCATCCCACGGGGAGGGGACGGGCGGCGCTGGCCGCGCCTGGCGCGTTAAGCAAGGCCGGGTCGGGATCGGTTCGGTTCCGCTGGGCCGGGCTCGGCTCCGCTGCGCTCCCGCCGCTTCTCCTCCGCCGCTCCCTCCCGCGCCCCCGGCGCGAGACACGCGCAGGCCCCGCCCCCGGCACGCCCCGCCCCCGGCGCGCGCGCTCGCTGGCCGCGCGGGGCTTCCCTCGGCCCGCCCCGCCCCGCCCCCGGCGTGCGTCACCGCCCGCGCGCGTCCCCAGGGAAGTTTGGCCGCTCTCCGGCGCCGTAGCGGCCGCTCCGGGCGGGAACTGCGAACGGGCCGCGGCAGGGCTCAGGTACGGCGGGCAGGGCGCGGGGGTGGCTGAGAACCGGGCACGGAACCGGGCACGGAACCGGACACGGAACCGGACACGGAACCGGACACGGAACCGGACACGGAACCCGGTACCGAACCCGATCCTCCCCTGCGAGTGGCTGCTGAGCAGCCCCGCCCGGCGGGCCAGAGGTGTACGCGGAGCCGGTGTTTCCTGAAGGAGCCTCGGCCGGACAGCGATCCATGAAAAATCCTTCCAATTGGATTTGCTATGATTTCAGGGTGTAAGGAGCCAACAGCAGCACTGACTTCCTTAGCCCTTTCTCCCAGGGGACACTAAAGCGAGCGATTATGGCAAATGGGTTAGGTCTGTCAGACTACACAAGGAATGACTCCTATTGGCATGTAAATTATCACTGTTTAAATTAGTATCTTCTTGCCATGAATACAGCTCATGTAGTAATTATGTTATATTATTTCACCATATTATATATTGTATATATTATTATTACATCTTATATAATTACAATTTATATTCTAATTCAGACGCCTGGCAGGCTGCTATCCACTGAGGTCTAGATAACCCGAACTTCCCTTTCAACTGTAGAAGCAGATTGTTCGCTTTAAATTAATTTCTGTAGAATCATATGGTGCGTGCTATAGTATCTAAGCACTTCTGCCCTAAGATAGCCCCCCCAAAAAAGAGATAATTTAAACTTAAACTGCTAAGAAGGCAGAAGGATGGAAATAGACACAGGCTTGCCCATACCTTAAGTATCCTGCCAATTTCAAGGGTAAATGATTTTTCATTTAACAAATAAGCAAGTGTCAACCTGGTGCAAAACAGAGCTTAAGAGCCTTAGGTTTTTCGTCCCAGCTTAATTAGTATGTCATCTTAATAGGGTCTTGCTGCCAGAAGTGTCATCTGTGCCTGTGATCATCGTGGGGTTTGTGCTGCACAGTTTGACAGATCTCCCACAGTGCTGAGTTCAGATGATTCCGTTTCCAGGCTGGATTAATTTCGTGCCTGGTAATTGCATTTGGGAAATCTGCAGGCTTTCTGCTCACCACTGGACAGGCTGCTTTTCCCTGCAAGTCCCAAACCATCACTCTTGGGTTAAAAACCCTGCTGTCTTTACCTTGCAAGGACTGAAGTGAGTTGTACATAAATGATGTGGCAATAAATCAGTGTGACAGGCTTTTAGAATGAAGTGCCCATGTAAATAATTTATTATATTTGAGTAATATTCCTGCCTGGTCTGGTCTCCAGAACAAGCTCTTTTCTTTTACTCTGCCTGCATGGGTGTGAGACTCCTTGGAAAGCAAATTGTTCACTTTTGGTTTTGTTACTGTGAGGTGTTACTCTTTCATACCTGGAAAAAAAAACTAGTATGAAAGAGTTGTTTCTCTTTTCTTTCTGTTCCACCCCTTGGTCACTGTTTATTGTTATAAGTAATTTTTTTAATAATATCAAAAAGATTATTTGTGCAGGAGTACCAGTCAATCCCTTTAATGAAATATTTTCTCTATGGGTTGTGAGTTAATGCAAAGGAATTAAGTAATAGGAGAAATTAAACAGGATTTATATTCTTGGAAAGCAAAGGTATTTCAAATTTATATTTGTTTGGAATGACCTGTTTCCTAGGATGCTCCCGGTGCATTTTAACTAATGAAACTTTTCTGGACCCTTTGTAAGGCAAAAATGGGCAGTGGACTTTAAAACAGCCAAAATTACACAGCAAAGGGGTAATTGATACATACCACTGCTATTAAAGAAAATGTTTGGAGGCATAACCAGCAAAATTTGAAAAATATGCAGACTAAAACACAACAACACGTACTAAACTAAGCAGTTTGGGCTGGATTTGTAATTATTGGGACAGCAGACCCCTAAACAACTTCCAGCAGTTAGATTGATGTTCAGTGGACTTGTGGCAGCTGTGTAAAGGCTGGCATGACAGGAAACAGCACAATGAGTAAGGAGGTGAGTTTCTTATCCTGTGATCCAAAAATGCAGGAATTGACCAGGTAGGCTTTGTTTCAGATGTTAGATGTATCCAAAAATTCTTAAATAGAAACACACCACCACACATGCACTATTACTCTTCCAAAATTGCATAAAGGTAAGGAAGAAAGAGCTTTACCCTTTGTTCATTAAAAAGGTGGAACCAGAATTAGTGTTTTCTGTTCAGTGCAGGGAGAATCATGATCCTAGACTTGCCAAGAGTAAACCTAGCAGAGCCTGATAAATCAAAGAGTTCAGCTGTGCTTTAGGAGCCACACAGATCCCAGTGGAGTAAGTGGGGCTGCATGGAGGTGTCCACCTGACACATGCTCTAACTGAGCAGGAATTGTCAGAGTGGTGCTTGTATGCCTTGAAAGAAAATAGATTTAAACTACTGCAGGGAGCTCACATATGCTACCTTATACCTTTTTTTCCCTTGCTACAGAATGTGGCCTGAAAGAGTGAGGGGCATGAAAAAGGCCCCAGAGGCCAGCTGTAGTCTAGAGGAGACACTCAGTCTCCTGAGCTGCCCCTGCATTTCCATGTTTAACCCATCCCTATCTTTTCCTTCCGTTGAAGTTAACAGAACATTACCTTGCTTTTCTCAAGTCATCAAGGTTGTTTACCTAGAGATATCAGAAATCAAAACTGGGGAGTGTGTTGTGTGGGAGTCTATTGTGTGCAGCTTTTCCACCAGCAATTGCATCAACTCTTTTCCACTCCTTTTAAACTGTGGAGTAGCACAGGCCTCTGTTAGGAACATCTGCTCCATTACACTTGAAAGAGGTACCTCAGCTCTGTGTTTAAACAGCCTTTGAATAACAGGTAAATCTACTTACAAAATAGTTTGGGGTTCCCAGAGGAAAGAAAACTCCACAGAAATATAAAACTTGTGAAGGTTTTTGGATGTTTTGTTAGAATAGTACAAACCTTGGGTTAAGTATGTGGCATTATCTTTAGTGCTTGCTAAATCACTTGTTGCTGCCTGTGTAACTGTTTGCTCTTGCTGGGCTCAGTGGAATTGCATTTATTGAAAGAATGTTGAAGATTTTCACTCAGCAGAGCAAAGCCTCTCTGTGAAGGAAGCTTACCAGATATGAGGGTGAGGATGAATGAAAATCCCTCTGGATGTTCACAGCCTGTGCTGAAGTCCTGTCTTAGTTTGTGGGATGCTGTGATGAATTCCTTGGAAAAGCCACGTTCTCTAGCTGAGCTGTGGTGCTTGCACAAAGCACGGTATGCAAACTATTCTGAAGTGATGCAAAACTGCCTGCTTCCACCTCACACTGAGGACAGCTGGGAACTGGCACTCCTACCACAGGGCATGGCTCAAAAGCCCATTTTGTCAAGGCAGAGCAGAACTGATGGAAAAGACATGATTTAGGAGCACCATAAATTTGTGGGGAGCGATGGACAATGGGATAGAAAGGCGTGGGAGGATGTTGGAAAACTAGGAGTTGTGTTCACACAATCATGGCAGATGAAGGTGTTGCTGCCATAGCCCCACAGTGGTAAACATACTTGAACAGATTAAATTCAGGATTATCTCTTCTGGAAGATTGGTTTATTTCCTGCGCAGGAATTTGTGTACACACACATTTTTCTCAGCAGTGCTCAATTTCGCCACCATGCAAATAAATACCTACTTGTAGAGTGCTGTTGAAAATTAGTATTTCATATCCAATTTCCCAAAACAGAGGTTGTTTTTTTTCTAATTATGTACCTAATGTGTTCAAATTTTGAAAGACAAGAGCAAAAGATGGTAGTAGTAAAAGCTGTTAAGTTTCTTTACCTGTTCTAGTTAGTCAAGGCAATGTTTTGGAGCACTGTGCAGCACCTCTAGTCTTGTGTGGACTCTTTCTCAGTGATAAGAAAACTTCCTGAGAATATTACCAGCTAAACTCAAAAGAATTCCCTGAAAATAATAAATAATGGTCGCATTGCCACAGAGATAGTAAATTATAATTTCTAGGTGCCTTTAAACTGATAAACTGCTTGTATCATCCTGCATATTCAAATGCATATTTGAACTTTAATTTTTAGTCTTTCTGGTTTAAAAATAGGGCATTTTTTAACAGTGCTGAATGAGTCAGGCAGCCTCATACTACAGCCCTGGCCCCAGAGGGTGTCTGAGGCTCTTGGGCACTCCAGTCAATGGTTTATTATCTACTTCAGCATTAATGTTTCATGTGAGTTAAAACGCTGTGGCGAGAGGGCAGGGCAGTGAGCAAATAATATTCCAGTGAGGAATGGAAGCACCTTGCCTTCCCTGCCTCTGGCACCGAGATAGATTTATAGCTCCATTTGCAGAATTAACTTCTCTCTCTTCCCAGCTCCTACTCTAGTAATTTTTAATATCGAAGTTCTGTCACTCTGAAATGCTCAGACAATTGCTTTGAGACACAGGGCTTGGCTGTGCTGCACTTCCCCAATTGCAAAATCCCCCACACTGCTCTGATGGAGGGTTTGGTTTAAGCAAGGCTCACAGCTGAAGCTGCTCCTGCAGGTAAAGCCTGAAACTAAACTGGCATCCTGTGTCTCCTCCACTCAAACTGGATTACACATCATTTTAATAATAACCACTGACAACTAAATTTACACTGATAATGGTGCACACCATATAAAAGCTTGAAGAACTTTGACTAAAACCAGCATTAAGCAATTTTGCCTCAAAATGCCACCCACCTACTTTACATAAATTGGTCATAGTGTTTGTGGGCAAGTGACATTTGGGTCATAGTTTCTTCCCAAGGGCTCACAGTGATTAAGATCTGATTGAGGCAGCTTGGGGGTGTGAGTGGAGGCAACAGTATTGTTGAAATTTAAATTCCCTTGGCCACACAGCCTATTTATGTCTCTCTAATTGTCTCCCTGCCTATGCAGTGAACTCTTTGCTGAGCAGAGGAAATAGCCTGTTTAAATCACAGGTGTTTCTCCTGGTAATGTTGCTTTCCATTTGCTCTTTTCTAAAGCCAAATGTATTTACAAATTGCTGCTAACTTCTGATTGAAATGTATTCAAGTGTATGAACACTGTACAATTATACAAGTTTGGGACTGAAGAGGAATAATTCTAGCCAACCAAAATTAAGGAGAATTTTAGCTGCACTTGGCATAATTGCCAGTGCTCACACTTGCCAAGGAAACAACTGGTATCCTTTTTCTGAAAATTGTTTGCCAAGTCCTCAGTAAACTTTGGATTTCTTGTTTAGAGACTGGAAAAACAACTTATTTTAAAAAGTGCCACACCTGGAATGCATTAGCAAAGCAGCATAATTTACCAGTCAGTCAGCACTCTATCTGCTGAGGATTTTAGGCTTTCTCAAACTGTTGTGACATCTCCAGCTCTCTTGTATGTCTGATTTTGTCCTGTATTTGTATTGCCTACAAAAGTCTGAGTGCTGGGCTATTAGTTGTGCTTAGCATTGGTGCAAATCCAATAAAGGATTATCTCTGTGGGTTATTTGGGAGTGCTGCTGCAGCCCCTGGCACAGCTGGGTCCACAATCTCCCCAGCCCACTGCTCCAGAGCAGGGGGAGTGGCTGTGCAGTGCTGGGAAGTGTTGGATACTGCCTTGGAAAAGGGTGCCATCTGCTGAATTATTGGTTCCAGTTCTTACAGTTCTGCCAAGTTCTGTGGTTCTCAGCTCTGCATGGTTTATGTGGTACCCTATAGTACCAGGCAGAATTATTACAATCAAAACAGCAATCTGAAATAAAACTGAGAAGTCAGGGTATAGCTGAGTAAAGTTTTAGAAAGTTGTCCCTACTTTTTATCAAAGTATTAATGGATATTGAAAGTGGTCCAGGAAGACAGTGCTGAAGAATCTGAAAGAGGGAATTATTTTCGTTTTTCCTTCCCTGGCATGGTACAGTGCCTTCACACTTACTTAAAAGGAAAAGAAACACATAATTTTTTACCAGAATTTTTTTAGAATAAGCTTATTGCCATGTCTTCATATTGACTGTCAGTTCTGTTCTCTTCAGTCATTATATTTTCTCTCTTCTCTAGGGATGCCTGAGAGCCAGGGGAAGGACAGTGAGAGCAGCAGCAGCAGCAGCTCCAACACTTTGGACTCGGTGGCTTCCTTTGGACAGGTCAGTTCCTTTTGCCTGAGAGGGAAATGCAAACTGCATGCTCACACTACTGCAAATCTGCTCTGCATGTTTATTCCTTTTAAACTTGGGTACAGTAAGGCTGGAATTATGCTACACCCTATTGTACTTTACTTTTTTTCTCCACAATAGTCTTGGCATGCCTCAAGTTATAATCAATTGCTCTGGATTCTTCCCAAAGGCTTTTAAATCTTGAACCTTAAAAGTGGGTCTCATTTTATTCTCTCATTCCCAGATAGCCTGAGTCATGCTTACATATATTCTCAGTACAGGTTCAGAAAAGCCAACTACTTTCAGTTATTAAAAAATAATTTCAAAAAGTTGTAAAATAATTTGAAAAAGAAAACTGTATCTGGACTGAACAGAGCTTTTGGTGGTGAATTTTCTTCTTCACGATAGGCATTTCTACATAGTTCTTGAACGTGGCACAAGCTTGTGCATTCTCCCTTTTTCCTTATGCTTTTTGGTTACAGGCTTGCATTCTAGATCAGAAAAAGAGAAAGTTTTTACTCTTAAGTTTAAATAGAACCAAATACAAATTAGAGCAGATTGGCAGGAGTTGGAATTTATATGGCACACAAACACACTAGAAGATTCTGTGTTCTGCTGAGTTGTTAGGGCAGCCAGTACATGCATACACAGCATTTATGATTTAAGTGTTCTGTCCCACTTCAGGCCACAACAACACAAGCTTTTTAGTTCTCAAATCCTTAAATGTACATTTAGGCTTTGCTAGATTTTGTAAATTGGATTTCTACTAAGACAAACCTACACTTATAACACTTTAGGCTTCCCATGATGCTGGTATTCTCCAATGATAGCAGTGATGTTGGAGGTATCCAAATAAATTGGATAACTCAAGGAATTCCTTTTCTGACTGCATTCCTGAGCTGCTGTCCTCCCTGCCCTGCTGACATGTGGCAGTGGAGTACAGTCCATCTTCAGTTTTGTTGGAGTCTTTAAATAAACCTTTCTTATTGATCACAGAGATACTATGTTTTGGTTTTGAGCAGTAAAATAGAAATTTACATGTGTGTTTGTGGCTAGGATTATTAATGACAAATAATTGCTGCAGCTCAGGAATTAATACCTGTATCCATCAAGAGTAAGAGGAAAAAAGAACAGTCTAATGCATGTGTGTACCCTGAGGTGTTTCCTTGCCTGTTACATCCCAATTCCAAGAAATGGATGAACATGCACACGTTGGGAGGACTGGGATAAAGCAGTGCTATTAGGAGAGGAGGGATGAAGCAGGAAGGTGAGATGTGTGTTGCCTTGTTTGTGCCCAGTACCAGTACACAGCCAGCGAGTACCGAGCAATCCAGCACGCCCTGCGACAGAGGCTGGGCCCAGACTACATCAGCAGCCGGCAGGCAGGAGGAGGGCAAAAGGTACGAACAAACATCATGTTTCAACTCGATTGTCCCAGGAAAACTAGGGTTTAAATTGTTACAGTATTCCTTATTTTTCTTTTTAAGGTAACTTCCCTCTTGTTGTTTAATACACAGATATGAATGCAAAGCGAGCATGGCATAAGTTCTGGTTTTTATTGAGCCACAGATCGTCCTTTTGCACTTAAAAAGATAGTTAATTTTTCAGTGCTTCATCCTTTACAAAGGAATATTTATCTACTTGTACAACACTGAGATGTTTTCCCTGTTTTTTCCCCAGAATTGGACTATATAAAACATTATATAAGTGTCTGCATTTACTGTCTTTAGTGCCCACTCTGCCTTTTGTTAATTAAGTCCTATTTGGTGTTATATTAATCCCCACCACATTCGCTGGAAGAGAATGCACCTGAAGCTGCACCATCAGCCTTTTATTCACATTATCTGAACCTTGAACTTAGCTGGGTTTCCTCAGTGTAAGATGGGTATGTGTAATCTGTTAATAAAGTATGCAGAGATGTGTGCACAAGGCTACGTATTTATATATATTTACGTGTATGTGCTCCTCTTCTCAGGTCTGTTACATTGAGGGTCACAAGGTCATCAGTCTGGCCAATGAAATGTTTGGCTTCAATGGCTGGGCTCACTCAGTCACTCAGCAGAATGTTGGTAAGGATCTCTTGGGGGCAAACAAAGTCTTTGCTCCCTCTTGTTCCACTGTGAAGGAAAATTCACTCGGATAAGGGCCAGGGTTTCCATCACAGAACACAATTGGAAGGGACCACCAAGGATCACCAGGTCCAGCTCCTGGCCCTGCACAGGACACCCCAA